GTGTGGAGGGGTGAACATGTCTGTCCGTGTCTCGCTAAAAATGAAGTGTGTTGTATGATTATCAAAATGAAACGTGAAGTGAATCATGGCTAAAATAAGAGAGGAAATAGTGGGCAAACGGTTTCTCAGTGTTTCTAGTGGTTCTAAGTTGAAATTGTCTAAGATAAACGAATGGGATTGGCGCGCTGGAGTAATTAGGGCTTGTACCCACACGGATTCCAAGCACCCAGATCTACAGGTAAGTTAATAAAACGAATTTGTCCTTATTGTCACTTCGTTAAAGTCACGCCGATGAACGCCCTTTCCATCCCCGAGCCCCAGAGAGCGTGTCACAGCGCGGAAATGGGCGAAAATCAGCGTATTGTTGACATCGGCCGGAGTTAGCAGTCACACGCCCACTGGCGACATTTGCACCTGTGGGTTAAATCTCCTTCATTTCGGCGTGCTTCTGCGTTTTGTTCGGGGAAATTGGGCTGATTTTGATGCCACTTTCTTTGTTTGTGTCGCGTTGGTTGTGTCTGGATGTGTTTTGAAGTCGTGGTTTTGATAATAGCGCAGATTTTGTTTATTTATATTCATCTGGAGGTAAAGAAACCTCGATGGCTTAGGCTTATTCACGTAGTAACGTATTTGGGTGATTAGACGCAGTAACATAGAGGCATGAAAGGTACACTAAAATCGTGCTCTCCTGTCATTCGCTTATTAGTTCTAAAATCATTAATTGTTATATTCGGGCAGTCCATTTGCCCCAAAATATCCAAAACTTACGGAATCTCAAAACTTTTTCGTACCCTTTGAGGCCTACCCAGCTTCCCTTCCCACCCAGCTTCGCTCATCTTGACAGCTGCCGCGTCTAGATAAGCCTAGATTGCGTTTGTTCCTACCCTCGCATGCCTTTCCTTCGCCTGAGAGACTCTCTAACTATCTCTTTCTGGCTTCGAGAGATCGCGGAGGGTAGGCGAGGGTGGGGAGGCAAAGGGGTTAGGAATGCACGGGTTGCAACGGAAGGAAGGTGTGGCGGATAGGCTTAGGTAGGATCGTGTGTCGGGCCCTTGGACATGGGTAGCAACTGGTTCACACGCCCGCTCGCTCTTACTCACTCCTTTTTCCTCACTGGTTTTACTCATTTTTGCTCTTTTTACTCAGATCTTTACGTATGAGTTTGTCCAATTGGTCTAGTACTTTAGTCTTGCGTCAGCTCGACTTGGGAATTCATTTTCTTAAAACATTCACTCATTCATTCATTCACTCACTCATTCATGCTTTCCTATTCATTCATACACTTTTTCCTCACCCATTTCTTCACGGGGTCGTGCACGTTCTCATTAATTTACTCCCGTCAGTTCGTGACTCAATGGTACCCTCATTTTAGTTATTTGCGTTCGTCTCATTATCCCAGCCTTTAGTAGCAGTAGTCACAGATAGCACGCTTGATTGGAGAGGAATGTGGATCCGAATCAGGCAGAAGTAAAACAAGAAGTCTCTCTCTATGGTATTTACAAAGCGGGTTGGTGAATATATGGAAGGGGGGGGGGGCTGGCTGTTGTGGGAATTGATGAATTTGTTGCCGTTTGGTCGGGGTTAAAGGTCTCTGTCTTTTTGTCTCTTTGCCTGTTTGTCTGTTTGTCTGTCTGTTTGTCTGTCTGTCTGTCTGCCTGTCTGTCTGTCTGTCTGTCTGTCTGTCTGTCTGTCTGTCTGTCTCTCTCTCTTTCACTCCCTCTCTCTCCCTCTCCCTATCCCACTCCTTCATCTCTCTCTCTCTCATTATATTATAATATATATATATATATAATATATATATATATATATATATATTTATATATATTATACACAAACCCATAAAAACACACATGTATTATACATGTTTATGTATATGTGTATATATATATATGTATATATATATACATATAAACATATATTGTACATATATAATACATATATATATACATATATATATGTTACATATATGTATACATGTGTATAACACAGACACACACAACACACACACACACACCACACACACAGCA